ATATACAACCATGCTTTAAAACTAAATCACATATGATATGCTTAGGTCACTAAACCACCAACAGCTCACTCCTCCAAGTCATCAGACCGTCGCACCATGTAACGCATGACCCTTTAGTTGTAAACACCAAACGTAGAAATAAATACCGTGTAATACTTACTCTACAAAAGGTAAATAGAGTGTCCGGTACTTAAGTGGCACCATAACATGGTGATGAGGTGCGCCGTAGCAAACTATAGCTCGTACCTTTTAAAAGAAAGTATACCGTAACAATTGATGTTTCACTTCTGCACTATGTATCTAAAATTAGCGCTAAATATAAAGGGCCCAGATTTAATAAAATACAAAAAAGAAAAGTTGATATAAGCAAGGATATAAGAAAACATGTATACGCATGTTGCAAGACAATTGAAGGCTTATTTAGTTATATTTTCCTTTTTCTTCTAATTTTGCTAGTCATAAATTGCCGTACATAATGATAATAGTAATAATAATAATAATAATAATAATAATAATATTAATAATAATAGTGTAGTTTTATATAGCGCCATATCCATACAACATAAGATGCTCGGGGCGCTTGATATGTGGACTAGGAACTCGATCAATGACTTTCTTCACCCCTAAGGCTCCCTTCATGTCTGTGCAACCCGTTAACCCGGTACCAACAACTCTCGTCTCATCTTAAAAACCATCTCTTTGTCTCTGTTCAAATCAGGGACGTATCCAGGGGAGGAGCCGTGGGAGCCGCGGCTCTCCTCCCCCTTTGTACACAGTGTAAAATTTTTTAAGCTTTTTTCTTAGCCAATACAAATTATTTCCTGGGACCACTCAAAATGAATGCTTCTAAAATACGTAAAAAAGCATCAGTACTCGTTTTACATAGGCCTAGCATACTATAATTATAACACATGTCTAAGCGTGATTTTTAAAAATCCATAAATCGCAGGCCAAGTCTTTTAAGTTACAAAAATGTGATACTGTATGGCTCAGGTTGGTTTTTATCCTTTTGCAAGCTTCTTTAAAGTAGGGCCTATTGTTCAATAATACTATACTATTAGTAATAATAATAATAATAATAATAATAATAATAATAATAATAATAATAATAATAATAGTAATAATAATAATAATAATAATAATAATAGTAATAATAATAATAATAATAAAAGTAATAATGATAATAATAATAATAATAATAATAATAATAATAATAATAATAATAATGGTGATGATGATGATGATGATAATTGATAGTAATATTAATAATATTAAAATGTGAAGGAAATTGTACTAAAGGCAAAAAATAAAGTTGTGATTTGTTGATGATAGTTATAAGCTTATATATTAAATTATAGTTAGGTCAAGTTGTCCTGGATATCAAGTAGATCTCTGATAAAGTACATGAGAAATTTGTTGGCGTTTCATTTTGACTATGTAATGGTGATGTGATGATAATGAATTTTACTACGTGAAAGTGTGATTCCCGGCCATCTAGAGGTACTATTTCCCCAAATTTTCTCACCTCAGCCCCAACCATGGTGGGGCTGAGGTGGTTGTGAAATCATGGTTTTGAAGTATATAAAGGACATACTCAAAGACAATGTTTTTAAGCTTTGTTTTCTATGATATATCACACACATTAATAAGATCTTTTTGGTTGCAGAAAACCTTTATGAAAAAGACCATGAGATTTTATTTTTGGCGCTTCATTTGGACTACCGCTAACGGTCATGTGATGATAATGAATTTTACTAAAAGTTTTTTTTCTGGCCATCTGGAGGTACTATTTCCTCACATTTTCGCTCCTCAGCTCCAACCATGGTGAGTCTGAGGTAGGTGCCGACTCACAAATGTCCTCCCCCTCAACCTTACAAAACAGATCTGCGCCCTTCTGGGTGTGACATTAAACTGCATCGAGTCGGCACCTGACTCAGAGTGTGTCTTGTGACTGCTGAGGAGAGGGGGCATAAATTTGTTTTTAGAATGTGATCTGGTTTTTTCATGCCCCTTTTTCGTGATTATGACTATTTTAGATAAGAATTTTTTTTTGAGAGAAAAAAAAAAAGGAAAATATATTCAAATTTAAGTATGAAAGTGTAATTTCCGGCCATCTAGAAGTGCCCTAATCATAAATTTTCATACCTCAGCCCCAACCATGGTGGGGCTGAGGTGGGTGGTTCCTCAGTCTGTGAAAATCCCTCCATGGGACACCTCTCTTCCGAATTCATGGATTCTGTTGATTTATTATAATTATTGCTGGGCCTACTAATATTATTTATGATGTGCCTAATACAATTTTCACTTTATCCTCTCAAAACAGTCCTTAAAACGTTCAGAGTGCGCTACTTCACAGGGGGAGTGGGGGTGTTCGTCCCCCTGGACCCCACCGGGGTCAAACGTATCTCGCATAACGGCTCCCCCTCTTTCAAAATCCTGGCTACGTCCCTGGCTCAAATTTCCCATTTCTTTTGGGGTCGTTTAATTTTGCTTTACGATACAACCAAAATGAATATACTTTCTTTTAACGATCACTGAAGTTACAATACCTTATCGGCCATCATGGAGGAAATAATCATACAAATTATAGCCCCCATTGATGTTGCGACGAATCCAACACGAGATGGGTCAACACACTCTTGAGAAGAGAACCAAATTAAGGCTTCCTGCAAATGAAAAGGGATATAATTTACTTAATAAAAAATTATAATTTATGTTGCAAATTCCAACAAAAATCGAAATCAAATCAGCATTGTATTTTTTTTTTAATTGTATATTTGTATTTTGGTGTTATGTTTCGTTCATTTAACTTTTATCATGGTTGCTTTTAACGTTTTTGTAAGCAGTGTAATGTTACTGAATACAGCTCTCCCTCCAATTAAAGACCCCCTCTTATTAAAGATCACCTTCAATTTAATACCACATTTCTGCGGCCGCTGTGGAATGCCTATCTTATTTCTTTAGCTGTTTCATCCACTTATTAAAGACTCCCTCTACTTACAAATCAAAGACAATGGTTTTGCCGAACCCAACTGAAATTAAAACCAATATAAAATAAATAGTTAATGCATTTTTTCTGTAATACATTTTGTTATATGACCGTCAAACATAAGATGATGTTTTGTGTATACAGTGTTTTGTGTATATTGAATACCGACAATGTTAGTGGTGATGTTATATTAAGTAATATTTCAATGGAAATCTGGGTAAAACAGGACTTCATGTCTGGCTACCAAGAAAGATTTAGTGCCGGTCTTTAATTGGGAGACATCAAAGACAGGATTTTTTGGCAAACCAAACTGAACGTTTAGTTTTAAATTCAACAGTGCCCAAGCAGTAACATAAGAGCAGCTTAGCTCACAGCCAAGCTCGGTCGGCTTATCTGCTGGTAGCCACTGTGCGTGCGCTTAACCATGGGGATCTCTTGGTTCTCGGTTTAATTCCCTTCGCTGCCACTCCTTGTGTTTCAGCTGGAGGGCTGAAATACTAGTTACAATAGCGCACCGTCTTTCGGATGAGACGTTGAAGCCGTTGGTCCCGTGTGCATTTATGGCCCATGTGCATGTTTAAGAACGCAGTACACTCTTCGGCAAATAGTAGGAGATTCTCTCCCGGTGTACTGCCCAATCACCACCAGATAGACCCCACTAGAAATAAGTCTTCTTCTAGACTTTCGTGGGCTATCCTTGGTGTTTAAACACCGAATAAATCCAATCCAATCCAATTAAAGACTATTTTTCTGTAGTTATTTAGTGCAGTTTCTTCCTATAATAAATTATGACGATAAGACTGAAGACACCAACAAAAGGATTCTTATTAATAGAGATCAAAGCTTTTAAAGACCACTAAAAACCGGGTCCCAAAAGTGGTCTTACCTTAAAATATTCCAAGTCGACTCCAGGCACCGTTTTAACGAGATCTTGGTAAGCGAAATAAGGTAATGCATAAGTAACAAATCCACATGAAGCCAGGAGGGCAGCCCTTACTGCTTTCAGTCCACCCCCTATGCCATACATGTCAATCACGCCTGGAAATGGTCCTCTGCCTGCAATAAAATACAGCTGGTGTGCTTAACATTAAAAAAAAATGGCATCCTTTTCATAAGAAGTTTAAAATGTTGGATAAACCAACGGAGTCAGTGGCGGATCCAGGAATTCGAAATAGAGGGGGCCCAGGGAGGGACTTTCACAGATGGAGGGTCTAGACCACCTCAACCCAACTATGGTAAGAACATTTATGATTATGGCTCTATATGGCCGGAAATGGCACTTTAGACCCAAATTTGATTAATAATTTTCCCTTTTTCTCCATTTTTGTTATAATTTTTTTTTAATTGGGGGTAAAGTGCTTATATATAAATACATATTTATTTAGTTTTGAGGCAGTTATCTTGATATCTTGAGACTGGATTAACACTAAATAGTCGCTTAGTTTTAAACAAAAGTTTGAGGTGTTTAAAGCCATATGCTCTATCCTCCTATTCATTGAAGGATGAATAAAGTAATTAGTATAATTTTGAACAAGGAAATTAATTTCGTTCTTAAAGAATGACGAAAGATACAATGATAGAATTCTTACGGATTGGTTTACTAGAAATGACTTACAAAAAATACTTCAATAACCATAATACAGTAAATCGTATATGGCCTTAACAGCAGTGAATAGGTAGATGCAAGCAATAGTTCCAACATATTAAATCGATTATTATTATTGTTTTATTGTTATTAATTATATATAAATGCATTATTATTACTTTTTATTGTTAAATTATTGTTATTAAAATATTATTATTGCTATTAATTTTTTTGCAGATTGTTAGGTATAGGCGTTACTACAATAGCTAAATTTACTAGAACAATTCTTGTACAGTATTTGTTTATTTACATTTTTGTAAACTTTGAATGATACAGACAGATAATTATTAAATAAAAAGTTGACACTCGAATTTCATGTTGATTTTTAATTTTGCCTGTAGCCAATGACAGTGTGGTGGTGATGATTGTTAATTGCTGTACAGTATAATAATGGTTACAAAACAATATTAAAAATATAGAAATGCCAAAATCCTCTGGTTCCCTTCGGAGACTGGGTATTTGTTTAAAAAAAAAGTAAGTCACAGGTCTTAATGCCAACATTTCTTTTGTGTATGTAATTGCATATACATGATAAGCCTACATAGACATACTGTACTGTATACGCAAATACAAAACACAAACACTGAAGTGTTGCATGACCATTGTGAAATGTACCACCTCTTTTCATCATTAATACTTAGTCAAGATTGTTATCATATTACTTAATGAAGATTAACAATCTTGCTTAACAATAATAGCAACATTGTAATACATTACAGACTAATGATAATAATATTAATGATTATAATATTTATAATAATAATACGGTAATAGCAATGATAACAATAATATACAAATATTACAATAATAATAATAATAATAATATTATTATTATTATTATTATTATTATTATTATTATTATTATTATCATTATTATAGTAATAATAAAAAGAGTGGTAATAGATGTCATTTTAGTATGCAAAAAAAGGTAGGCCTATCTGTGCTTAACAAATATTCGGCCTATACAATAATAATAATATAATACATATGTGAGGTCTCACCACGAAATGAGACGCATCGTTTTGGAAATCATATTGAGATATTCACCAAAATAGGTCAAAGGCAACATTTTTACAAAATTTTGATTTTAATGTTTTTGAATAACTTGATACTTATATTTTATGATTGCGTACTTTTTAAGTGAGTTTTCTTACTAAAACAGTGTTCTCTTTGCATATTCTGTAATTCTAGTCCTATTATTTGTACAGGTTAGTTTATCTTTGAGGCCGATTTTCTCAAAACCTGGTTCTCGTACACCTAAACTTTAAATGCTAACATCTCTGGATCTATTTATCCTAGGGAGGCCATTCAAAAACCAAGTTAAAGCTTATAATGGGATTTACCAAAATGTAATATTAACTCATTTTTTGATTTTCTAACGATGAGACTCATTTTGTAGTGAGACCTCACATATAATCATAGTTACCAACCGTCTCGCATCGTGCGGGACGGTCCTGCAGTGATTTTGGATGAAACACCCATTTTGCAGAAACACATGCGTGATCCTAAATTTGTCACACACTTAACACAAGTCCATGCGTGATAACGATTTATCACAAATTCAGGGGAAAAAGTATTTAAAATTTGAAGAAATTAGTTGTATTAAAATTACAAAAAGTGATGCGGTAACTTGAGTCAATTAGAGAGTACAGTATTTTCCTGAAGGCCCTACTTATTTCACTAATGAGTTACTAAAAATTGATCAGTAATGAAACGTTTGTGTCTACATAGTTCGGGTGCTCAGATTAAACATAGGCCTACATTGAAACTCCAATTGGCTTTATTAATAATATTTTTGCTTATGTACCTGTATTATCAATAAACACTCCCTGAAATTGTCGAAATTTTCGTACCGTACATCACAATGTATTTTCGGTGGCGAATTGTTATTACCGATTCTTGTCGTAGGCCATCGATAGCACATTAAATTCATGTGTAGGTAATCGTTGTCATTTTGATATTGAGCTGATTTATAAAATATACCGTATATATTAATTAATTTTAGTTGACTTGGGAATTGTAATAATATAAATGATAATAATCTCTGGTCTAGCGTTATGACACTCGCCTAAAGGCCTGGCTGCGGAGGAAAACAATTTTTAAAAATATGTTGTACAATTGAGTTTTCTAAGACACACAAAAAATATTTAACGAACAACTCGGGAACGATTAAGGAGATACAGATTTTTAAATATTGAAACAACTGGGGAAAAGGGTTGGAGAATGGGTGGTTACGCCCCTTTTTCCCCTCCGGAGCCTGGTTTTAATAGCGAGATGTTACGGGTTCTAATTTCACTTGGGACCCCTTTTCATACAAGCTGACATTTGCTTTTGTCAAAATCAATGCTTGATTAGGCCTACTATTCATCAAATATCCATAGATTGAGCACTGTTAATATTATTTAGCTATTTATTTATTATACACAAAATAATACTCAAACCAACCAGGTGGCTTAAAAATGATACCACGAAGACTTCCTTCTGAAACCTCTTGGAACTTTACATCCTTTGACAAAAACGTTCTCTCTAACTGGCACTCTGCAATGGCAAATGAGCTCTCCAGTTCCTGAGCAGTCAATGCACCTTGATGAACACTAAATTGCATCTGCAGAGGTTTGAGGACATCCATACCTTTGACAGAGAGTATTGTATATTCTTGTTTTTCTTGAAATTGTAGGCTCCAAAGAAGTCCTGCTCCATCAACACCTAATAAAAATATAAATACAACTCTCATGACTCAAACCCTAAATTTTCCTCAATATGTCACCCAAAGTCCTTCTGACCCACCACATGTTTACACAAAGACCTTACCTGTGTATGTACCGCCGAGTGATGGTTGCTGGTTAGGATTGATTTCACCTGTTGATGATGATTTAAAGTGTGCAAAAGAAACCAATATATTTTTGCCATTCTTGATGCTTCCTTTTATAGTATAGTCAGTGTTTTGTTTGGCAGATGTCACACAGATCCTTGGACAGTGATCAGCAAGGCAGGGAGAGGGAGACACGTCTATATGTATTGACCTCCTGTGTTGTATGCTGTAGGAACATAAATAATTGTAATATTTATTTATTTTCTCTTCAACAATCCAGCAGCAACTGAATTCCCACTTTTTTATGCGTAGTGATTACAGAAAAAATGTTGAAACTCTTAAATTACAAAGGAGTGTATTCATTTGACAAGACAATTATAAGTCAGACGAGAAATAGGAACATTCAGGAAAAATGGTGACGAAATACTGTTTTTGGTATAGGCCTATATATTTCTTGATATTGTTATTCAAATTATAACAAAGATTTGACTAAGAATATATATTTTGAATATATTTGTGAGAAAACAAACCAGAAATGTAGAATATCAATAGATTCGAAACATAACAATCACATACGTGCTACATAATGATACACGTTTACTTCCTCGTCGACCACATCTGAGGTTTATCAAGGGCACCAACAAATACGTTTTTAACGCCGACAATTCCGAAGGAATTGTGAACAGGATTTGGCCAATGCCGATGCCTGACAGTTTTTTAAGCATTACACCACATAAATTAGTTCATCAACGGCATTCTATTATATAAAAAACAGAAGAAAGTTTATATTAATTAACCATCAACAAAAAACATCATTATATTTGACATAACAGTTTAACTTTACTTGGGCCAAAGCAGAGAGACAAACAACGTTTCAATATAATAATAATAACGATCAAACCATTTTAAAGAAATTTGCTTCTTTTGCTGACAATGCCTAAAAGAGGAAGCGTTTGCAAAACCGATCAGAAAAATATTGTTAAGCTCATTCCTCAGCGGATGATAAATTAAAAGCTGTTATTGTTAAAAGTGCATAGTATTTAAATTGCTTGAAATGAAAACGTTCAAAAATATATTTAAATCGTGATTATTTAGAGAATGTTCAAGTTTGTCTAGTTAAAATGGTTAGGCTATTGCTCTAGCATGTTTCAGTGGCGTGCAGAGTCAAAGAGGTGGTCCTGGAATCTCCAGCAATTTAGGGACTAAAGGGGTTGATAGATGATTAAAAATATAATTCGTAAGAATTACATAATTATGCCATAAATAAGAAATTTATATCAACAATTCAGGCTACTCATCCTCTATAAGTGTTTTTGTCGTAAATACCTACGGTGGTAGTTTGTGAAACAAATTATACGAGGAATATTTTTAGATACATAATATAAGTTGTATTTTATAAATAATTTTTTATACAACATATTTTTAAATATCTTTAACATAATTTGATAATTTTTCTAATAATTTGTATATATCTGTAAACCATGCACATAAGCCATAATGTATACCGTACCTGTTGGTTCTCTTTCCTCATTTTTTCCTTTCCTTTTAATGAAAGATATTGTGTAAATTCATACTTTTTTATGCATGGTTTTCACCATAACATTATTTGCTAGTATATTCACACTCTATAGTAATACTTAACCTTTTGAAAAATCTTTTTTTCACAGTATGGTGACATTATCTTAATCTAATTTACCCATGTATAATTAAACATATTTTTCCAATTGTTTTTTAATAATATAATAATATTATCTATTTTTTTGGAATCTAAGTGTTGAATTCCATTTTCATCAAAATAACATTATCAATATGAACACACTACCGAATGTTTCAATAGTTTGTTCATAGAGAAAGGTCTATTATAATTCAAATTTTCCTCTCTTATTGTTTTACGATTTAATTCAAAATGTTGGATTCATATTTTGGGGAGGGTAATTATTCTAAATTTATTTAATGCATCCAACAGTGTAAAACACCAATAACAGGATGGAATTAAAATATAAAATACAATATATCTTATCTTTCTAATTGTTTTAATTCAAAAGGTTAGAAATTCATATTGGTGTGGGTGGGTGGGATTCTATTCATAGAAATCAGCAAACAAATATCCCATAACTTTCACAGTATTTTCATAGTGGAACAGTATTTATTATGAAAAAATAAGAAGCGTAATAAAACAAATAAAGAATTAAAACATAGATAATGTCAAGATTGTTTGTGGCGGCGGCGGTGGCGGCAGTAGTGGCAGTAGCAGTAGCAGTTTTTCATACTAATTGCATACTATCGTCAAACGTAATCGGTGAACCCCATGGAAGCGGTTAATAATTTCCTTTCCATTTTCTCCCTGACTAATAATAATGTTATTGTGGTACTAGTTCGTACCATCGAGTTACACTCAGAACTACCTGCAAGGTTTCGGCAGCTTTCATTGTTTGCATTGTTAACTTCAAAGTTTTGTGGCGACGTCCTGGACGTTTATTTACAATAAAAAAAACTCAACTCTAATATCTGCGCTGGTTCGAACAACAAGTTGAACAACAGGTCTTCTCGGATAAGGACTTTAAACCGTAGGCCCAGTGTACGCATTTGACTCTTGTGCACTTTAAAGGACCTAGTATCCTTCGAGAAGAGCAGGGGGTTGCCCCGGTGTACTGGTCCATTAAGTTCCTTGTTGTTAAAGGGTCCTTCACAATTATCAACATTTTCACAAGCGTACAAAACGTACGTTGGGGTAAATCCTGGCGTACGCTTTTTAAAAAGTAATAAAATATCCGTCAAAAATCGTACCTAGGCTACCGGCGAAAGTTTCATGAACTCTAGTTCCGTGCAGTAGCGAGAATATGCATTGATCTGGGTGTATAAAGTCTTGATTTACGTTACAATGCATTCGCGATTGAACAAATTTTCTGAACTCTCGCGACTGAATGTGTGTTGAGATAGCTGCTTAGCCATGTGAGACTGCTCAATCATGCTTCTTCATCATTTTTGAAAAGGAAGTGGATATATTTACGTCGCCGTAAACAAATCAGTAACGATATATTTACGTAAATGAAACAACGCATGCGCTTATGAGGCGCCAAGTGTAAATTACAATTATTTATATATAATAAGTTTACTGATTCCATTATATATATATATATATATAAATAATGAAAAGGTAACAAATCATTAAGTCTATATATAAATAATGAAAAGTAACTTACGATTATTTATAATAAGTTCACTGATTTCGTTATATATAAATAACGAATTAACTTCGAACTCATTATATATAAATAACTGCTTTTACATTTCATTATATATAAATAATAGCAGTCGCAAAACCATTATATGTATATAATGCTTGGACTTCAAACTATTATGTATATAATGCGCACGTGTTATCGTGTCAAGGTCATTATATCTAAATAATGGTTTCTTACTGCCAATTATATATAAATAACCGTTGTGGTCGAGTGCCATTATATATAAATAATGACATCGTAGGAAGCCATAGTTTATAAATAATTCGTTATGCAAATTACGAAGTAATAAATATTCACCAGTGCAGTTGAGTTACAATTAGGGCCTATTGTGTGTGGTCTACAGGTCGCAGACCATCACCTATATCGAAAATGGCACAGCAAGGGATACAGCAGATTATTAAATGCAGTGGTGGGGCAAGAGTCCCCCTACCCCGGTCGTGGAAAACGAGTAAATTTAGTCGGGGAATAAACAAATAAAAAAAATAATTTACATGTAATGTTCGTTTAGCCACCATATTATTATATTTAATAATAATAATAATAGTTATAGATAGATTTAAAAGGAGATTCGCAAAATATAAGTTATAGATATATAATTATATCTATGTATATAATATATGTATATAAATAAATATATATATATATATGTGTGTGGGTGTGGATATACATATACCCTGTCTCTTATACACATCTAGATGTGTATAAGAGACAGCACTACCGAATGTTTCAATTATCTATTGAGGAATTACGGCTCACTACATCAGTGCATTATAAATCTAATAGCGAACCTGGTGGTTGTGTGTTCGGTTCCCACACGAACCATTTTTTTTTTTTTTTTTTTTTTTTTTTTTTTTTTTTTTTTTTTTTTTTTTTTTTTTTGGCCCGACGTCGGTAAACGTTTGCAATTTACAACCTCTAACCAACTTCGGCCCAACTGTTGTCACCAACCTCCACTAACGTTTACCGACATCGGGCCAACAAAGTACCCTGATGTTGGGACAACGTCTATAATCACATCCTAATATTTATTACAACCCCTTACCAACGTCCGACCAACAGTTGTAACCAACCTCCATTTAAAACGTTTACCGACGTCAAGCCAATAGCGTACTGTGACGTTGCGACCACGTCTATAATCACATCTAATATTTACAACCTCTAACCAACGTCGGCCAAACGGTTGTAACCAACCTCCATAATATATATAATTATACACGTTGTCGCAACGTCAAAGTACCTTGTTGGCCCAACATCGGTAAACGTTTGAAATAGATGTTGGGTACCACCGTTGGGCCGATGTTTCTTGAAATTGTAAATTTTATGTATGATTATAGACGTCGCAACATCACAGTACTCTGTTGGCCTGACGTCGGTAAACGTTTGAAATTTACAACTTCTAACCAACGTCGGCCCAACTGTTGTCACCAACCTCCACTAACGTTTACCGACGTCGGGCCAACAAAGTACTGTGACGTTGGGACAACGTCTATAATCACATCCTAATATTTACAACCTCTAACTAACGTCGGACCAATGGTTGTAACCAACCTCCATTCCAAACGTTTACCGACGTCGTGCCAACAGCGTTCTGTGACGTTGAGACAAGGTCTGTAATCACATTTTGCAACGTCGGCCCAACGGTGGTAACCAACGTCTATTTCAAACGTTTACCGACGTCGGGCCAACAAAGTACTATGACGTTGCGACAACGTCTTTAATTACATTTACAACCTCTAACCAACGTCGGCCCAACGGTTATAACCAACCTTCACTACGTTTACCGACGTCGGGCCAACAAAGTACTCTGACGTTACGACAACGTCTGTTATCACATCCTAATATTTACAACCTCTAACCAACGTCGGGCCAACGGTTTTAACCAACCACAATTTCAAACGTTTGCGACGTCGGGCCAACAACGTACTGTGACGTTGAGACAACGTCTACAATCACATCTAATATTTACAACCTCTAGCCAACGTTGGGCCAACGGTAGTACCCAACCATCTTTTTAGTAGTTTGCCGACGGTTGCCAACGTTTACCAACGTTGGGCCAACGTCGCTTTGCTAGCTGGGTAACAACTCCCTCAAAGCTCCGGGCCCTGGTCAAGGCTTAACACTCACGTGCAGCCTAGGCCTATCCTAACTGTATGTCTAGCCTACCATACACTAGCTAAATAATGCACGGAGATTGCCAAAGTAATTATAAATCACTATTTAAAAAGAAACAGGCCTACTGCCGTACCTTACTTTGGGTCGCTGTCTAAAAAACATAATAACTCTCTCAATATACTGTGTTCAATGAGCGCACTGTGGTTTACAATGTGTATGTTTATATTTTGTACCCATTAAGTCTCCCTTTTGTGTGAAAATGTTGGTGTTAACCACGGTGGTAACCTTCATTTGGTGTTCAACACAGGGAAGTGGTGAATAATAGTTAGATACTAAAGTCGATTATATATAATATCAGTGCATTTCAAGGGCTTCATCCCCCTGGACCACGGGAGTATCA